TATGACATGTAATAGATTTCTAATATTAAACACACCTGCTTTGGTATTTTTTCTGTCCGTCTAAGACAATAAACTATTTTCCTTAATTTTTATTTCATTATTAGAATGTACAAATATGTTTACTTACATCTATAAAAATTTTCGTAAATGCCTGAGTGAATGTATATTATGATAAATGTGAAAACACAAACAATTAATATATTTTTATGTGGGAAGAGGTATAGTGCGATTCATTTTATGATTTTATTGCGTGTCATATTTCTTTTCAAATAAATAATTAACGAGATGACAAAAAGAAGAAGCCGATGTATTTATTGTAATGCTATTAATAAATATATTTAATAATCTTATAAAGATATAAATAAATCCAAAAATTAATAAGTAAAAAACGACAACAAAATATTTGCAATTATGTGCAAATTTAATGAAACATAAATATAAAAAGTCAGTCAGTCGTCAATATGTATATAGTACATAGTCATAATGTAGATAATTTATTAAATATATTTTGTTAGTTAATAGAATGTTTTGATAGCATAGGTACAAAAATATTTCGGAATAAAATATTTACTGAAACCGGTAAATTTATTTGCAGTCTATTTTTACACGTATTACTGAAGCACCTCAGTAAGGTAACAAATTTATTTATATTCTGTAAATATACGATTCACATATACTCTACCAGGATAAAACATGTCAAAACTTTTGTACAACAGATTTCAAGATTTACGAAATATAACCTTAACTGCAGCAGGTGTGACCCCAACTTTTTACAGAATACATTAAAAATAATTATTTTGCAATTATGTAAATAATTTCTTTTGTTAGTATAGTAAGGTTGTGCTTTATTTTTTTTTTCTATTATACAGCTTATCCATTTTACCTGTTACACATAACTACCTGTTGTGCTGTTGTTTTTTATGATGCGATAACCCGGTAATCTCGAAATCCCAAGAGATACTCTGAAAAATTGTAACTAATTATACTATACCTACATAATAAAGGAGTATTCCACAAAATTTGAGGTTTCTATATCAGTGGTTTTGTATATGATGTGTGTTGATACAATCAGGGTAATAGTATAAAAACAATCCACTTTATAGAGACTACGTCAGTTTCTACCAGTTCACCTTGATTGTCATTCAATGTTGTGGGACCTATATAAAAAACATTACACAAGTGTATTGATTAAAGTAAAACAATAGGAAATTTTAACGAGTACCCCCGCCTATAAAAAAGCTATTTGACACAGCTATAAGTTTCAAGTATTTCACAAACATTTCGAATCGACTTTTATAAATGTGTTGTCTGAGATAGCCAAAGTTTTGGTACGCGTAAAGAAAAAAGGTGGAAAAACAACTACGCCTATAAAGTTGAGCACCTTAATCTCATAATGTTTGATTAAGTTAAAAGCCCGATACACAAAGTTCAACTTGGGCCTCATTAAATTGAGCTTTGAAACGAAAACGTTAATTTCCCTAATTTGCTGTTGTTTCTTTTGAATTAATTTGAATTTTAGTACATGACAATGAGCATCATATAAATATGATTATACTCATTATATTTCATAGGCCAGTACATTGAACATAAGACCTATGTCTATATAATATTATAAATATTACTTTAATCTTTATATACTGTGTATATTGTACTATTAAGTACTACATCACACTGACTTTTCATACGAATTGGAAGAGGACAAACTTTTTTCTTTGGCAAGTTTGGAATGATGTTTTTTCTTTCTTTTATTCAAAGGGTTTGCTCCCGTGAGTCCTCAATACACGATGTTGTAATCGGCAACAGGGGGACAGACCATATCGATGCAAGAAAAATAATCTAAATGAAACTCAATAGTAAGCCGCCATACTAGCGTGGTAACAATAGATCAATTATTATAAAAGACTCAGCCCAATAGGACAATAATTGTAAATCGTCATGACGATTATATAAATTTATATTTCATTTTTATAAAATTACAATGTGGTTAGTATAAGTATATGTGTGTTTTCATTCAGTCAAATCATTAAAAGTTAGCAACACCTTTAATTTATTGGTGTAGTAACGATTAAACCTATTAGGTTACATATTTTTTATTAAGTTAATTGAAATTAAAATGAAGTTTTCATTAAGTGTTGAACATATAATCCTAAGTTACCAAAGAAAAACAGACACTACTCAACCGTAAATATGACATACTTATACTTATTGAAATTCAGAGCACACAATCCAAGACAAATCTGTGAAATAAATATAAGAATTTAGCTGAGGACCTATATCCATAAGTAATTGACAGACCGACATGACAAAAGTTATTACTTCGCATGTTATTTGTCAAACTTCTGAATACTTTTACTGCAGATGGCATGCGGATGACAGATTTCATGAGATGAAATGTATTGCCTTTCCGGCTTGGCTACTCAGTATTAAAACATTTTAAATAAAATCGTTTAATTCCAGCAACTGGAATGATAATTGAGGTAGCAGAGACTTGTATATAGTAGTGAGATGGAATTCAAATGAGTTTAAAGTTATAATTACAAAAGCAACTATTATATTGTTGTCATAAATAACTATGTAACAAAGAAATTTTATAGTTAATTATTCTACAATCCATGTGTAAAATGAATGAAATAATAATTATACTTACGCCTATATTACTGCTAAGCTGGCATTACGAATATGCGAATTAATCATAGTTTGTCAGTTTGGTCCGACCCAAATAACAGGATTTGAATGGATTTACCAAATCCTTAACAACTAACCTGACCCTCAGATCGTGAGAAATGAGACCACATTGTATGTTATGAATTATCTACAATCTTCAATATTTTCTGTCAACATATTTATGTATGTGTGGTTGGACGTATCCTGTGAATATTTAAACAAATACGCAAGTAAATAATACCACTTGAAGTGTATGTAAGCAATGAGATTTTTTAGTCACCTATTTTAGATATTTTAAGGGAATATTTATTTCAAAATCTTTACTGAATACTTCCATCGTTGAAGTAGGTATATATTTTTGTTTGCTGCAAATAGTTAATAGGTAGAGTATTTAATTAGTTTTGTCGCTACTGTTTAATAAGTCATTCACATCTTCACTGTTTGTTATCTGTCGACACCGGCCTTACAGAATGGTCTAGAAAGGTCTACGAGATGGCTAACACCCTTTCTTGTTGGATTCCTATGTGTCCGCTATATTAAATTTTAACTCTCTGTACGATATATGTATGTAATCTGTTATACATACAGACAATGAATAACAGATTTTATTTTACATTTTAGTTTTCTTGTTTAGTTTCCTGGATTCGTTTTTGGAATACGTTTTCAGAATAGTTCTTACTTACGAACTGTTCAGTAACTACTGTATGATTAGCTACTTATCGGATTAAAGTATAGCTAAAATTATTTTATAATTACGTTACTATGCCGATTTATTATAGTCAAATATTATATTTGTCAACATTGTCCCTTTAAGCACACAGTGGTTGCCTACGCATAAACTGTTCAAGTAAACATGTAGGTAGTATTTAAATACGTTAATTTGGTACTAAAATCATTACAAAGATATATTATTTAATCCCCTTAGGAGGTTTGAATTAAGATTCGAAATATTCATAAATATATTTCATTTGTTTACTTATTATACTTACTTATATCTGTGAAGATATTTTTCAATTTATTATATTCCACAAAAACAACAAAGGTTTAATTCAGCCCTATTAATTTTCTGTAATTACAAAAAATATAACTACAGTTTATATTATCAACGTTGTTTTACCAGCTACAAACGTAACATTATGAATTCACTCATATATAATGGTATATGTTACAAAATAAATATCTAATTTGGTTATGTATCTATAATTTTCAAATAAATAACTGACTAATGAATACTGAATAAATAATAAAAAAATATCTACCTAGATTTAATAAAATACTGCTTACAAAAAGAATGTTCTGCTTATTTGCTAGGTCATTCTGGTAAATAGAATGTAATTTTTGAAGCAGGTACTGAGAATATTAAGGTTAGTTATTTAATGTTGTAATTTCATAAAGTGATGATAAGAAATATATTTTATTTACGTATTCACAATAAATATGTAATATATGTATATAAATCATCGAAGGTATTTATTATTATTATTATGTACCTATTTTTGAAATATAATTAATTAGGATTTATTTTATTTATAAAGAAAAAAATACTAAATATCTTCAACATAAAAAAAAAACACAACTGTGTCCATAGTTTGTGCGTGTGTTTGTGTTGTTAGAATTAAACAATAGAGAGACATGTACTCATAAACGTCAATGTGTATTTTTTAAACATTATCTATAATAGCATTTTGTTATCGCTCCTTGTTTCGCCATGAGTTTCCGACCGAAATCAATAAATCAATCCAAACCTTATTTTGGTTGTCAGTTTACGGGCAACTTGTTGATCTGCCTACATCAACAAGCGCTTAAATAAGCAGAAAATTACTTGTTGCTACATTAAAGTACAATAGCGCTTCTTTAAATAATTTAGGTGTACTAATATGCGTTAGGAATACAGAGTATTTTTATTAATAAAAAAATAATAATATGTATAAAAATAAGATATTTTTAAAAGTTATTGCTCAATTCTTTACTTTAGTGAGCAAGTTCTTAATTTTGTTTTTATTTATGTATATTACATGAAAATACAATATCATATCCATCAATGCCAAACAAAGAAAGAACCTGTTTAGTTATTATAATATACCTTTCAGAGATTCTTTTGAATCCTTCAATATTTCCAAGTTTAATATTCTTAAACTACCTACATAACAAATATGGTAAGTAAGTAAAATAATATGGAAATCACTAAGATTACTCCACATAAATTTATTTGTTGTCAATAACTCTAAGTTGATAGTAAATTAATTATTTCGGTCGGAGTCGAGTTCATTTATTTGCCACATCCTTCTAAGTTACTCTTATCTATTATTAGAAAAGTAACAAAATGAGCCACTTACCTAAGATTAATATCCTCGAGTATCTGACTTGGCAGTAGATCCAGCAGTTGTGTAACATTAAGACTAGCCCATTGCTCCTTTCCCATCAACTCCCGGGTACAATTGAGAAAATTCTGGATATCCAGATCGGAGTCCATCGCACCCTTTTCAATCACTTTTCTTTCACAAAATAACACATTATCACTTGCCCTTTAATGTATATGACATCTTTGTTCATAACACATTCTCTAGATATTTGCTGCTACGTTATTACATTCGTATTTATGGTACTTCCTTATTTCGATATTAATTCAACAATTTATGATGAAATAACACTTATGTAATACGTTACTTATATACAACCTATATAATTAGAAAAATAGGAATATAGTTAAAATTATTTGATATATTATATATAAATTTATAATATTTAAACTAAGTTTAAGAATAGAAACCGCTGGTACTAAGAGAGCTGGCGTGACGATATAAGTAAGTAGATAAGTTTCTATACTTTTATGATTGGCGTAAGTAGTGGAGAAGTAAAGTAGCTGTATATTTCCATTAGACCATTTCCTTCGCTTCCTGTTCCTTCATAAACTTTTTTGTTCACGAGCACATATGTACATATACTTTATTAATTCTATAGAGGGCATATTTAGTAATCGATCTTCTATAATAATTAGAACTTAGTAGTATTTTGATGCAAACCTAAATTAAACGATAATGTTTAAAAATATAATAATGACAGTAACACAGAAAATATAATTTAGGAACCTTATTTTTGTATGTATAAGTAACTATGCGTAATTGTAGCTGTGATATATAAATAGTAGTTGTACCTTTTCTATTTTTTTTTATTCGACGAAAATGGAATGTTTTAGTCGTCCACGCTAACGGTTTACGCTGGCGGGTGGAGAATGATACGATAAGCATGAGCCCATCGTAACGAATTATCCAGGAATATCACTGTTTTAATGTTTGTATTTTTACAACTTAATAACGCTTAAATAACAGGTTTTGTTCTCTTTTTTTACATATCAATAAAATTTAGTCCTCAGCGGACCACATAAATTTTTTTACTCATTATTACAGTTCAGGTATTGGTGATAGCTTTTCACCATATTAATCGTCAACTTATTTGCCAATTTCAATTCATAATATAATAGTACTAATTTATTATGTACTACATATGCACAAAACTTTTTTCTGTTATACATGCAGGTAATATAACATATAGCTTTATGGTACGTATGTATGTATTCAGCACCGTCAAATACTAACATAGTTACAAGAAACTCGTGGCTACACTGTTTTTGATTGTAATCCATATTTGGTATAAGTGACGTGATTATGATTTAATTATTTAGTGATGTCATCCAATGGCGTACTTAGTATAGTTATTGCTCTCGAGTTATACTAACACAAACATACAAATAGGTAACATGCGTTTTTTATGGATGATGATACTTTTTTATTCCCTTCGCAAACGGTGTACATTACAATGAAGGATTTACATGAGCATGAGATTAGGTCAGTTAACACATCCTGACAAATTTACTAGACATTAACCACGATAGTTTTCAGCGGTGATCCTCTATGGCCACATGGAGTTTCGACCTAACATGGTTCTTTGACAGCGATGTACTTACCAGTCCCAAATACTAACAAACCCTTTCCTCCAATGTATTTAATTCCAGATTTGTTCTGCAGATTTACGTCAAGCTCGATCGTGACAAAATCAGTAGATATGCGACCAAGACTCGTACCTAATCCCTGTCTATCGACATTTATCATCCCTGTCTTTTGCGGATTACCTTCCAAATTCGTTTAAATTGAAGTCAGTTTTCAGTCGATGTTACAAGTTCTAAGTTTAGCGGTTTTTTTTTGCGTGAATGTTATACGACATATCCGTCATTTATTAAAGTACTAGTCGGCACTACTCGCCCCGACTTCGCACGGGTGTACATGTATTATACATATAAAACTTCCTCTTAAATCACTCTATCTATTAAGAAACCGCTTCAAAATCCATTGTAGTTTTCAAGATTTAAGCATATATAAGGACAGACAGTGACAGCGACTTTGTTTTATAGTAAGTAATGATTTTGATGATTATTTTTCAATAAAATTTGTAAATTGTATATTAATTTATATCGCGTTGAGTTATTTAAAATGAATATTTTGTTGTTAAAATGTATAATTTTTAAATAACCGCATGTCGTTATATATGTACTAGAGAATATGTATATTTAGTAAAAAAGTTTTCTACGGCTGCTTTCAGCTGCGGCTATTTCACAAATAGCATTACTAAAATCAAGGATTTCCATCGAATATACATATATTATAAATAACACTGTATGTATGTGTATATTACATATGTATGTGTATATTACAATATACTTATAACTGAGACATAAACATGATAATTGGTCTAATTTCGACCACAAACGATGCTAGTCATTAATTATTGAACTGCCTATAGACAACAAACGTAAACATGGAAAGACCTTAATGAAACCAATACATTATGTATGTGACACATAAGGGACAAAGCAATAAATTTATAGAAGCCGCTTGCAGTTACGTAAACGGTAGTTGTTAAGATGCTCAAGTTTCAAGATATCAGTATGCTATATATATTTGTAGTCGAAACTACAAAACAAAGTCGCCATATACGACCGTCTGTATTTGCCTAAGGCTTTAAAGCCATGTAATGGATTTTATTGGTTGATTATTTCCTTTTACCATCGTAAATGTTAGGGATTTTGCGTCTTCAGTACACATACCAATAACATAATAAAGACGAAATTGAACATATCCCAAATAGTAACAAAATAAAAGTATTGAAATTAAATATATGTGCATCGCATATACCTATATGTCACACAATGTGTGTATGTTACCACAGACAACATAATGTTACTAATGTTATGTACTGTAGTGCAAATAGGCTATATGTACAGTATGAGTTTTGCTTAGAGTAGGAAACAATGAGTTTAAGCTATTATCTTGATGTACAAAATTAGATTTTTTATTCCAAAGCAATATATATGAAGGAAAATTAATTAGTAAATTTCATGTAGAACATAATTATGTAACGTAATCTATGAGAATCATAACGATATATGAAAATAATAACAAAGCTCCATCCATCGTTTCTGATTTTGGACACATGGACAAAACTATTTACGATATACAATATTACTCCGGATATTAAAATGACCCAACTAGTCAGATAAATAAGATATTATTCAATTAACCGTTACTCGTACTACTACAAAATATAACGCAAAGAAATTGTACTGATTTTATATACATAGGTTATTAAGTTTTAAAAAAGACTTATAGGACCTGAAATACTATTGATGTGGAGTATGTACTAGTTTTAAGCAACGACTTAGTCCGTAGTATAGAGATATTTATTGATAGACAACGATAAAACTAGCTGATCTCCTTCTCATATACATTTCATGATGATTGGTCGAGTTAAGGCGTCAAGAGTAACTAAATTAAGTTTCACAGTATTAGCTTAGGATTAATTTTGACTGTCATAGCTCCATAATAAGATTGAAAAAAAAAGATGAATGAGCCACTACTTACCAATAATTTCCCATATATATAGAAATTTCCGAAATATACAGGATAAGTCAGCGTACCTCATAGATGATAAAAATGACAACATTTCGCAATTTCCTCAAGGTAATATACCATATAGAATTATACAGCGGTGGGGTGATTCCAATAGCTACTCGAGATCTTGATTTCTTAAGGCGGGTCGACTAAAAAATTTCTGTAGCTATTTTCCATAATATATTCTAATTTCTACAGAATCAAGATATAGTACAATCGTAACATGAATATACATTTGTGTAAAGATTATACAACTGATACATTCTACCATAGTTAGCTGTTTCTTAAAACGATTGTTTTTATGACTTGTATAATTAATTATGACAAACAAATAGGCAACTGTAACATGAATGTATTAATAAATATTACTATATAAGAGCGTTTACATATAAATACATTGAGATTGTTGGATCGCTTATTTAAGAAGATAAATCATTTCGGTTATCGTTTCCGGTGCCACTTTCCGGAAATACGACGGAACACAAAATGGCCACTCGACAATATCAATCCTCTACTTCAGAAGGAGATGTTGCTTTAAGGATAACTTTTAAATAGTTCAAGAGTATCTATCTCAGTATTGGTCTTATTCATACATTTTCGTCACTATAATTAACCACGATACAAACATATAGATATTTATATATGTATAATCATAATTGTTTGTGTCATTCTGGCTGTCATCTTACATAGATTATGCATTTATTTTCAATAATCTACTATATATATTTAACTATTTCTATTAGTCACTTAGTATTCGTAACATAAGCCTTGCTTCGCTTATGTCTCGATGGCGCTCTGTGAATTGTACTGGGTTAAAGAAAATCAAAAGTATTGTGTCTCCATCCGCAACCTAGTAAACGAATTGTCTTCTCTATACATGTAATAAAAATTTTAATTGTCACTATTTACTAGACATATGGGAATTCTATGTGCAGATTATATAAATGTAATAGAAAGCAGAAAGATATTTTTTTTGTCTGTCGTCTATGCATTTGTACACGCATATTTTAGGCATGTTTTAATAGATTAAGATTCAGTTTTCATTGATGTGTTAAAGTAAACTTCACTTTAAATATTATTCAAATGGGTTTAAAAGAAAAAAACTTATACGTCTACGAAGTCGCAGGCTTAGCTAGTAATATATTACATTACTGTGTATAATTTTACATATATAAAATAAACACTGAAATTTGCTTACACCCAATCGTCATGAAATTGGCATCCACGTACGAATACGTATCTATGGAGAAGGGCAGAGTATTTTTTATTGAGTTCATACTACTCCTGATTACATACAGCTAAAACTAAAAAAAGATAACTTACCCCTGAATGAAAACAAATTCTAATATTCTATAATTCGAATACGCAAGCTTATATACAATTATATACAAAACAAGACAACATTACAATCAATATATATATATATCAATAAATAGATATTGATTATAATGTTGTCTATCTATCAATATATATACGTTTAGAAGTTATAATGCCACAAACAAAAAGAGGCCGAATAAAAATCCCAACATAAATAAATTTTAATTTAAAAAATCTCATCACGATAAGTAGACAGATCTCATCTATTTCCGAATCTAAA